CGAAACCTTTCGAAGTAGCCTTTGCTTGTAGACAGTGGCGGACGGAAATGTGGTTGTATTTTATCTCCAGGTTGCCATAACTATAGTAATTTGTATATATTAACATGTTTCTGTTCAAATAAGGAGAGACTTATTAAGATATTACCAAAGGGTATGGAGTCGATTTACATACCATTAGGCCCGGCACTCGACTCGCAATCTGAGGGTCGCGGGTTCGAATCCCTGTCACACCAAACATGCTCGTCCTTTCAGCCGTGGGGGCGTTATAATGTGACGGTCAAGAGATGGCGGTGGGTGGTGATGACTAGCTGCCTTCCCTCTAGTCTTACACTGCTAAATTAGGGACGGCTAGCGCGGATAGCACTCGTGTAGCTTTGCGCGAAATTCAAAAACAAACAAACAAATACATACCATTAACAAATTATTTTTTAAGAAGTAATTCAAGTCATAATATGCCGTAATAAACTTGGGTCAGATTGCCAGAGAACGAGAGTAACGGTTCACGTGAGATTACACGTGAGATGTGTTCGATAGAAACGGTTCTTCGTCAACATGTTGGTTGTTTATCATTATTATGTTTGGTAGTTTTAATATATATATTTAGAATCAGAATCCGACATTATGGAAGTTTGGGCTTTTATAACAGCTTCAATAAGCTATAAATCTGTGGTTAATAAATAATCATTATTCTAAAGTTTCTACAACTGTGTATTTATTTACTAAAGACTAACGTTTATTGTGGATTATGTTCTTCCCCCTTCTAGGATCTTATATTTCTGTTAATGTTTCGTATAAAACTTGCCCCTCAGTGGCACAGCGGCATGTCTGCGGACTTACAACGCTAGCATCCGGGTTTTGATACCCCCTGGTGGGCAGAGCCCAAATAGCCCATTGTGTAGCTTTGTGTTTAATTACAAACAAACAAACGTATAAAACTTAGAATTTTTTAAAATCACAATAAATAATTAAAAACAACGTAGGATGACGTCATCCTACGTCGAAACGTGTACTTGTAGAGAGATATTTTAAAGTGGGAGCCGTACGGCTTCAATAAAGTTTTTATTGTGTAAATATAAAACGTTGTTTTTAATTAATTATTATGATTTAAAAAAATTTAAACACAAGTGCCAGTAGTGCATATTTATAAAAACCTAGAATGTTGTTATAAAGATTGATGGCACACTGGCTTAAGAGAAAAAAGCCAAGACTTTGGTATCATATAAGTTTAAAATTTATTACTCATTAATTAAGTTCTGAATATTCGGATTTTTCATTGTTTTTGATAAAGTAGACATTTTAAATATTACTTTTAAATATTTTGAAATAATAAATGTCGCCCATATCTTTGGTTTTGCAATATTTCTGGAATGACATTGTTTTGTTTTTTCTGTTTGATTTACTTCCTGATTCGATGTAAACACGAAATTGTTCTTGTAATTTGCTATCGATGTATAAACTATATAGAGTATATACGTAAAAACACGAGACGTTTTGATGTTTATGTCATTTATATTAAAGGAATTTAATATTTTTATATAAATTCACTGGAATAAATAATAATATACGATTGTTCTTCCCTTTAAAAACTACTTTAAATTCTAAACAACGTGATTTTCCAACATTGACGACCAGACATAGCCTAGTAGTTAGCGTGCCGGGCTGCGTTGGTAAAGGTCTGAGGTTCAAACCGCAATATGCTGTTACACTTCCGGTCGTTTGTTAATTTTCCGTATAATTTCTTTCTGAAGAAATTTTAGCGATACAAGTCCTTTCTTAAATAAAACTGGTTTATTCTTTCTAAATACAACTTTGCAATACACTTAAATTTCCACGGTCGCGCTATAACAGACGCCATAATTCACACACGAACGTCTCACGTGCTCAACAATACGTCTCTCTCTCTGTCCGCAGTTCAATTACACCTTGTTGCCGTCACGTCTTGACAGTCTTATATATACAAGACTACCGCATATCTAGTAAACGCTAGAGCATTCAGGAAGGGACAGGATCCTTCTAGAAGTCAATGACGTGTTACTAGCGTAACGTGACTTCCGCTGTCGTAACAATGCCTCTGAATATTCCCTGCACATTCAATTGTGGGGGCGTTATAAAAGAGTAGTTGGTTGGGTTCCTCTGACCTCTTCCTGGTCAGCATTTTTAAGTTAAAGTTGTATATGCCTAAACTATAGGAATCTATGACGTCACCGTTTAGCCGATATGTTACCTAAGGTGCTGTTCAGGTTGAAAATACCTATTGGCCAAATTGATTAGGAGGAAAAAATATGTCATTGTATTATACAAACTATAAACTTATATAATTAGATTCACTGACAGAAAAAGTACTGGTTAACATATTGTTGCGTCATCGAGGTCACGTGACTGGTGTGGCGCCACCTATTTTCTAGAACTATCCTGTACCTTGGAGAATGCTCTAGTATTTACTAGATATAGGGTAGTCTGGTATATAAAAGAGGGTGACAACGTGACGGAATAATGTGTGTGTGTAGATAGTGAGTAATTGAACTGCGGTCACAGGGTATTGTTGAAGTTAACGTTCGTTCGTTATAGTGTTTGTTTTAGCGCGAATATTGCAATTAAGTGTATCGTAAAGTTATATTCGGAAATAATAAACCAGTTTTATTAAGTAAATACTTGTGTCGCTAAAGTTTCGTCGGAACGAAGTTACGGGAAGTTAATTAACAAACGGAGACGTAACAATATACTGTATTGAATACAACGTTAAACTATTAACTTTTCTTTGAAATATTTTGAAATTACAAACTATTTTTTGTAAACACGTGTTATTCATTGATTTATATTAAATAAATAAGAGAATGCCGTAACAGGAATTCTAAAATGTTTAAAAAATAATAATTTAGAAGCAAAAGATTACACATACGAGTGCGTACACTTATAGTATAAACGCTTGAAATTATATTTATAATGAATCATACCAATTTTGATTTCTTGTACTTGGTTAAAATACTTGATGGATGTTGTGAAGGACTGTGCTCACTTTGTTTTATATATATTTTGGTGAATTTTAAATAGTATTTTATTCTATGTGTTACAGGTGGAGTCACTACCTACCGTAGGTAAGCTCAGAATTTGAATTTATTTTAAAAATATGCATTCAATGTAATAATTCTGTGAACAAATAAGCTAGACACGGCTTTTATCCAGCACTGATAATTTATTTTTTTAAAGCGGAATGTTTATGTTAATTATTCTGTTTTATTCATAATTAACGCAGCCTAACATACGATCAACAAGTGATTATTTGATTATTCAAGATTGTATTTGATAAAACTAAAAATTTCAACCCATCCTATATTTTTTCAAAAATTTATCGATTTCCCTATTAAACTCTTGTAAAGAGTCGATCTCCGCTACTGCCGGCAGCAAATAGCCATTGTTATTTTACAAGAACAAAACGATCTTAACTGGAGCCTAGCGTGTCTTTTTCAAACCTTAAACTAAATAAAATTGTCTTAGATATTCAAATTCAATTTAGGTAACCCTTTCTTTTAAACTAACAATTATTCTAAAATGTACAATTTAAAATATTGAGTTGCAAGTTATCTAATTTAAAAAGAAAGCAATAGGTAGCCATATTACATTATAAAAATAACAACCTAGCTGTTCAGATAATACAAATTCAGCAGTATATTTGCGATATATTTATTTAATAATTGAAATAGGAAAGTTTACCTCAAGAGAAATAAATTGAAATGAAACACGTCCAAAGAGTGCAGATTTTAATGATCATTTCACTTACAAAGCCTTTGAAATTTATGTTTAGTTTATTAAGTAATTATATTTAATTACGAAAAAAGAGATAGCCAAACACGTTTTTCCTCGGTGTTTTACCTTATGGCCACTAAACAAACTATCGTGGTAATAAGAGAAATACCACCGGAGAAGTCTGACTGTCTCTCTCTATTCTTCTTTTTTTTTTTTTTTTTTTTTTTTTTCTTATTCTATTCTGTCTTATTTTAGTC